TTCCGTAAGAGCGATCTGTGAGCACCCTTCTACCAGTATATATATACATCTATAAATACATGAGCAGCTCGCTAAGAGTGCAACAGGCCAGACGCAGACAGCTGTTTCACGGTCGTTACCGATCATCAGTACGTCATAGGCCTTATGAAGTGAGGTATATAAGCATGTCAAGTGGGCGTTTGACCCTCACTGTTGTGGTTAGGATCTCACTCGATCCCATTCTGTCCGCCTGCCAGCTTGCTACTGGCAACAACGAACGCTGTGCCAGAGGACACATCATCCCAAAGACACAGGCATCCCTAGAGATATATTTAGGAAGATGCAATTCTTTAGGAAACAGTAAACTTTATTGTGCAAATTTTCGAGACTGGTTCCCCAGCTCGTCTTCAGACAACGGGCGTGCAAAAACAGCAGCACTGTACAGGCAGTGAAGAACCGAAACAACTTCTCAACGCTATCTTACCATGAAACGAAAGCACATAAAGCTTTAAAACAAGACAAAGACATCATCATTCTACCTGTCGACAAAGGAGGTGCCACCATTATTTTGAACAAAACAGACTACACGGAGAAAACGATGTTGCTCTTAAGAGATGATTCAACATACGGACCTCTAGCTGCCGACCCTACAAAATCGCAAAACTCATACATTGAAAAAACATTGAAATGTCTTACAAGAAGGAAATTAATCTCAGGAGTTCTTGCCAAGTCTTTAAAACAGGATAAACCAACGACGCCAAGATATATGGTCTTCTCAAAATTCACAAAACTGATATTCTCCTGCGACCGTTAGTCTCCCTAATCGGTGCACCAATTACATTTACTTACGAAGAAGTGCGAGAACTCCATTCAGGATTCAAAACAGTTTCTAGACAAATTAGACGGTGTCAACAATAAATGTGACGAGATAACGGTGTCATTCGATGTGGTCTCGCTCTTCACTTCGATTCCGCTAGATTTAGCAAAAATCTGCACCGAATAACTCCTTCAAACATATACTTCTGAGGTGCCTCCAGAGGCTTTACTTCAACTCCATGATCTCTGTCTGGAGACAAATGTTTCCTTCTCAAACCAATGCTACCGGCAATTAAAAGGTGCTTCCATGGGTTCACCAATATCCGGTTTCCTGGCAGAAGCATTACTGCAGAAATTAGAGAGCATAGCCCTTCCCACAGTAAATCCAAAACTTTGGCTGCGATACATAGATGGCACTTTATCATCGTCCAGAAAGATCAGTTGAATCAGCTTCATACCATTATTAACTGCATATTTCCAGGAATTACATTTACTTTGGAAACAGAGCTTGATGGACAACTCCCATTCCTGAATGTCCTTGTACGTCGAAAAACCGATGGATCACTTCAGACATCCCTTTATCGCAAAGAGGCGTAGTCAGAGGTCATTCTAAACTTTGAGAGTAAACACCATGTCATTCACAAACGGAGTACAGTCTACAGCCTTCTGAATGGAGCCAAAAGTCACTGCTCTGATGAAACAAGTTATCGAGCAGTACTGACATACCTCTATAAACTGTTCTCCCAAAATGGGTACCCGCATGACTTAATGCGTCAATGCATGAGGCACCAGCAACTCAAGGTAAAAAGTATTTCCAATGCCACGGCCGATCGGGCACCAGAACCAACCACGTGGCGATGTCTCCCATACGTGAAACATGTATCTGAACTAGTCGAAAGATAATTGAAATAGTGCAAGATACACGTAGCACACCAGCCGACAACTACCTTACGCACACAGCTTTTACACCCTAACGACAGGGTTGGCTACCTCAAAAGAAAAGGTGTTGTCTACAAAATCCCCTGTTCTAGTTGTGATGCCGTTTATTGTGGCCAAACTGGGAAATCTATCTCAACCCCTATACATGAGCACCAGCTAGCGGTAATGAGACGCGACCATCTATCCCAGGTGGCTATGCACACACTGGACACTGAGTATAAATTCGCACGGGAAAACACTCGTATTGTTGGCGCCTGCCCAATAAGGAAATGCCGCGAATTCCTGGAGACAATGCACTCAAATGAGGCATGCATCAACCGGCATATCGATTTAGATGCCACATACAGAATCGTTAAGGGCAGATTCAAACTGACGCAACTAATCCCGAGATAATGACCCTAACCAATCATAGAATCCTTTTGCCAGACTCAGTCTAGAAGTTAATTGTTTTTGCACACCCGTTGTCTGAAGACGAATTGGGTAACCAGTCGCGAAATTTCACAATAAAAAATTTTGCTGTTTCCCAAAGAACTTCACCTTTCTATTTATATTTCTTGGGAAGCCTGTTTTTCGGTCTTAAATTGCTATAAGTTCGTCCATAGACGATTTTTACTGTAAGAGGGGGACACAATAAGTAGAACGGCCTGAAACGTTTTTAATCTGATCTGGTAAGCAGAACTCGATGTAAAAATGGACTGCAAAGTCTTTAAGGATGACTAGTCCGTTCACAGTGAAAAGTAATGTTCAGTACAATTACTAATCACTTAGAAAACACATTCCCCCAGGAAGGTGTTCATTGGTCCACTAACATCTAAACAAGTCGATTTGACGCCCAAACTTCCCACATTTCCGAATCAGCGTATAATTAAAGATCGAGGTGGTATCCCAAATATTGGGGGTGATAAAAGATTTTTCAGTCCTGATTTGTGTTTTCCTGCAAAACAGTTGAGATGGCCATCAGCTCTACCAGATTATCCAATGCCATATCAGGCGACCAAGAATGGTTACAGTTAGGGCTAAGATTAGGATTAGGTTGGGCGAGACAAATGCGAGTAGCCTGGGATTATGAGTCAATATTGTTGACGTACTTGTATCCTTTCAGTAGGCGTGCTTTTATTAGGTTACATACTTACAACTGCCGATTGGGTTAAGGAAGGGCGGTTATGCTGTAAAGTCCTTCGTGCTCTTGCTCCAACTATGTTTGGCCTACTTGGCGTACAGGCTCCGTCAGGATGACTTTCTCCTTCCCGTTAACCGCCCCGAGAACGAGACGCTGTAAGACTGTCTATATAGGCTCATTGCATTGCACCCCCTCCCACACGGAAATCTTCAGTAAAAGGCGAAATACTTAACCTTTACGGATAACGATTCAACACGCTTTTCATTATGCCTTTTATCTGCAAGTTGCTTCATTGGTAGTAACAGGCTGCTACCCCCACTCCCCCTAACATCTATCGCCTTTACGAAACAGCCGCGTTGTGTCTGACCGATAGGGGTAGTGTCCCACATCGCGTTCCATGCGTCTACAGAGCCCAAACCCACCGCTCTGATGAAACAAGCTATCAAGCAGAAATGAAACACCGCTAAAATGGCTACCCGCATGACTTTATACGTCAGTGCATGAGGCACCAGCAACTCAAGGGAAAAGGTATTTCCAATGATACGGTCGCTCAGGCACCAAATCAACCACATGGCGAACTCTCCCACACGTCAAGAATGTATCTGAACTAGTCGAAAGACAATTGAAGAAGTACCAGATACACGTAGCACACCAGCCGACAACTACCTTACGCAAACAGCTTGTACATCTTAGGGACTGGGTTGGCTACCTCGAAAGAAAAGTTGTTGTCTACAAAATCCCATGTTCTATTTGTGATGACGTCTATTGTGGCCAAACTGGGAAATCTGTCTCAACCTGTATACATGAATATCAGTTAGCGGTGAGGAGACGCGACCATATATCCGAGGTGGTAATGCACACACACTAGACACTGGGTATAAATTTGCATGGGAAAACACTCGCATTGTTGTCGCCTGCCCACTTAGGTAAGGTCGTGAATTCGTGTAGGCAATGCACTCAGATGAGTCATGCATCATCTGGCATATGGATTTAGATGCCACATACAAAATCGTTAAGGACAGACTCAAACTGGCTCAACCAAGCCCGATTAGATAAATAATTTATACAATAAAGTTTAGTGTTTCCCAAAGAATTCCATCTTCCTATATATATAGACATCTTTTGGTTTATTAGTCGTTATTAACCGGCCATGTTAAGCCACAGGTTTTGCGGCCTCTTAGGTTCGATCCCGCGACCTGAGCCACGGCTCGCTGCTCTTTCGATTGCGATCGGGCATATGCAATGATGTGGCCGGCTGATGACGGATAGTAAGCCGGAAATTGCCACCACAGTCTCCCTTTGCTTTGTTGGTAATGTCATCCTGTATATAATTCTAGCACTTTGAGGCTGCTGGCAAACTCGTGACTGAGCCCCAAGGCACAACGGCACGAGTGTGTCCCGTTACGCGATTGGTGAGCGCACCTTATCAGATATGAATGTGTATCTATACGCGTGTATGTTTGTATATACATGCGTTTAAAAATAGACACTTTAAGAAATTCAATAAGGAAGTGGTGAAACTTTTTGGGAAAGGTAACTTACACTGCGCAAATTTTGAAGGCTGGTCTCCTAGCTCACCGCCGTTACAAAAACAAGTAATTAATTAATTCAGCGTGTCTAACAAAGGACTTTACGATTGTTCGATGTCTACGCTAATACTCACAAATTGCATCTCGTCATCCCTTCCGGATTTGTTCTATTCGTTCGAATTCGTCCTTGAGGATTTTGTAGATCAAATAAACTTACACAAGGATGAAAAGCGTTTAGCAAGAGTTTTGCGAGGTTTCCCATATAACGCTCCAAAAGTCAGTTGAAAATATATGTCTTTGGTATTTAAGGGTTTATTCACATTCGTCCCCACGTTGCCCCTGCGACCTATTCGGTGTGCTGTCCACGTTGGTGTTGGAGAATGGCTGAGTCGGGAGAGTGTGTTTGACATAAACGCGCCATACCTTCCGGCTAATGACGAATACTACTTCTTTCGGGTATTTTGAATGTAAATATGGAATTTCGAAGAAAACCGCCGAACGTCGCAGAAATTTTAAGAATATGTTGAAAGAGCTGCAAGAAATATGTTGAAAGAGCTGCAAGAAATAACTAATTCGGTGTAAGAATTTATGTACAGAACGACTGTTCAACAGGATAATCATACAAAAAGATGGTTCAACAGGTTAACTATGAGACAAGAGAGGAGTAATCCAAAGAAGACGTCTAACCGAGCTCCATCCAGCTGAAAGATGAAAAATCGGAAGCTCAGTACCATCCGCACCCCAACGGAAGCATTTGCCATGCACGATTTATACCAATCCTACTTACAAATTGAAAGTAGACATGCAATGTGAACAAATGTCTTACCGTTACATAGTAATTGCACAGTTCGCCTTGGCAGCATTCGACGCAGCGCCAATCCATATACCATTCACGCATGCAGTCCTTGGCGGCTATTTCCTTCGCCTGTTGGCAGATGGCAGCCGTTGTACATGACTTCCACAGAAAATGCGCTCTATCCCCGTGCGGAGTCCAATACGGGGGCACTGCCGAAAAGACAAGAGTAATGGGCCACGTTTACGGTAAGGCAAAAAACAAACTAAGAGGATGATGACTTACTTGTTTATTTACAAATCTAAGATAAACGACGAGCAATAAATGATAGGAACTCTCAACACTGCGGCACCGCATTGGTTCCTGTGGAAAAAAATGTCTGTCCAATTTCCAGGGAACACATCACATTTACGCTGCCATCCCATGTAGACACACAAGATATAAACGAAACAAACAAATCAGAATTCTATCAGACAGAAATTGCATATGATGCAAAATCGAAATTCATAGTTGGTCATCGTTTATGCCACTTATATAAGTAGGCCGGTGGTCTGCCAGTGTGCGAGATAATACTCGACCTTCTGTGGCCCCTAGAATAAGTTCTACATAAGATCCATCGTGGCTAGACAGGAGTCCGACAGGCGTTTTTATGGATGAACACCCATAACAAATGCCAAAATTGGGGATGTCACAGTACGCCCTGGTTAAACCCCACATCGCGCCCAGTAGGATCCGTGTTGCCACCCTATTCTTCCTGTTGTGCAGAATTCTGGTCAGTGTACGCTGCAGACCAAGGAATGTGGTGGAGCGCGCTTAGGCGCGGGTTTCCGCCGCGCCAACCACCTGAGTCCTTGCCCCTGTCTCCGATCTTCTTAATTCCCGACCTAGGTGGGGAGGAGAGAGTGCGGTAGGTGCTTTGGGAGTTTACTATAACTATAAAACCAACTCGTTTACACATGGTGGACATCGTCGGAGACGACAGTCGAACTGTCATTCTAAGCAAGTAGTTGAAGAGGTTTAATTCGGGTCACAAGAAATCTAAGATAGCGTAGTCCCATTGTCTGTTACACTGTAATCGGAAATCCGACTACAACTCGGTTTTGTTCCAACCCAGGCATCAGAATCGACCCGACCTAGTTTCTTTCCTAATCAAACGCTCTCTGAGTCAACGCCGCCTTAGAATGGCAAAATAATAACTTTGATGGTGCCAGCCTTCTCAATCTTGGGCAAAAAAGTGTCAGATATGAAACAATATGATGATACAAAACGTTTCCTCTCATCTGCAAAACTTATGCTTAACTATAAAGAAGGGCATGTGGGGAATAACTCGAATGACCTTTTGAACGCAGACGTTTAAAAGAAACTAAAGTTAACATAATAATCATTGGGCCACATATCCGTTTAACGAGTGGTTAATAAGGGAGGTCAGTAAAAGAAGAAAAGGTATGTTGTTTGTTTGTGCGTGCTAACGCTATGAAGCTACGGTCGTGCATTATAAAACCCCAAAGATCACTCGCAAGACCTTAAAATTAACGTCCGTTATCAATTCAAAGTGTGAAAACGTGTACTATGAACCTGTAAAAACAATTTCCCGCCTCTAAAACCTGACCACTGTTTTCGGTCATCTGAGAGGATTTTGAACGCGCTGGCTACCTCAATATGCCGATTGATGCGTGCGTCTCGTGGATGGACAGCCGTCTACAATGCACGGCCACGTTTCTTTACTGCTAAGCGATGCTTATGCACGTGTAAATCGTGCACTTGTGCACACGTGAACAGTGCTGTTTTAAAGCTCTAGTGATCAAAAAAGTAAACCGTCATTTATTTCCAGGTCGAAATCATTTCATTCTTGCCCATTTATTGTCAGACTTTTCTTAAATAGCTCTTAACCAAACATTTTGGAAGGGTTTTATGAAGTTTCTGTCTTATTTCAGATGGTCGCAGTCGTTCGCTGTCCATATTTTCGTATGGTCACAGTATTCCTTCCCCAGATTCAAAACCTTTTGATATTTTATGTTGCAAAATAATATACTTTCAATCTTAGTGCTGACATATCATCGGGCCACATCGCGTAGCCTTTCTGGGGGCAGTTAAAATGGAAGTCCAATGTATCCTAACCTTAAAAAATTGTGGCAAAGAGTTCAAACTCTCGAATCTTCTCACCTTTTCGCCTCACTTTCCATTTCATGAAAAGTTTTCTTATCCTTACGTCACCTTTCGTTACTTTCTTTAATAGATTGTTTTTTCTCTCGAGTAGAAATCGAATTGCCGTTTATGCCGTGAGCTCACTTATGCCTATCCAGTGTAGACGATACGTGCTGTGATGTCAGGTGGCGGTCAAGTCAAGGTCCGACTTAACAAGTATAATTTGTTTGCAAGCTCATGAAATTTAAAAATCCAACTATTGTGTAAGATGCACGTAGAAGGCGCATTTGATGAGCTAAAAGGTTAAAGTAAAATAAGTCGAGCTATTAAAACACTGCGTCAAGAAATGGACGGATTGAATTACAATTGCCTAAGATGGAAAACAATTTACAATAAGTAACCAAGCGATTCTTAAATTTTGTAAGAGATTCCGCAGTCAGAAGGACCGCGTGAGGTAGAGGAAGTTTAAGGAACTTCAACCTTGTGCTTAACTAAGGAATTAAACAAGCACAAGGATCTGATTATTGGGCTTTTTGAGACTATTAAGAAAAAATCCCGCACTAAAGCATCAGTAATCGGTTAAGCCTATGAAATTTTAAAACAAAACCAAATGTAAATGAGGCCGTCAAGCAAAATAGGGCGGACAAAGTCGCTGCAAATAAGATCTGAAGTTGCTTGTAAGACGAAGAGTTCATAAAGCTGGCCACCGCAACGGTAATCTTAAAAAGGCCGCGACGGACTTCCAGGGACTAAGTTTGTTACTCGGTGCTAGTCAGCCACAAACTACTTACTAGATGATATGTCTAGCTTACGTGACGGCTCAAGAATGTTCGTAGCCATAGAAGAATGTTTGCTATGTTCGGACAACGTCTGGTGTGTGGCTTCTCAAGCCAATAGTAGAGTTGCAGCGGGCAACCATCATGACCGGTCTGACGTCGTTGTTCAAGACCATGCTGCCCCAAAGTCATTCACCTTTTTGCAGTGATCCGTTCCAGACTCGCTAACCTGAAGTCACACGACCGAAAGCGTCCGCATAGCAGCAACGTCCATGAGACCATTTAGACGCACCTCCCCCTGCAATCAAAACCTGGGCAACTCGGACAACACCCCTCGGCAAATGCAACACACACTGTCTGGACACCATCTGAGCTTGGCCCACGAGCCTACAAAAGCGGCCCCTACCGCCGTCTTAGGGGCTCTCAGGTCTGACTGGACGCAGCCAACATCAGCCCTGGCTTCACCAGCGGCCACTGCTGTCTAAGAGAGCAATTTCGCGTTCAGTATACCATAAACTCCCGAGTTCGCCCACATACAGTTTATTTGCTACAAAGTCATCACGGTAATCCATGTAAATGCAGATGAAGTTGACTCAAAGTCAGTTACTGAAGGCTAATATACCCTAAGAAAGAGTTGTCAAGGAAAGTCTTCTGAGGTGCGCTTTGCTTTCGAGGCCAGGTCCCGCCTTAATTCCGTTTCATTGGAACCCTAAGAAATCTTCGAATACACGAATATAGAAGATTTCACTACAATGAATCGATCGCTTCCACTTATATTTCCCTATCGTAAACCATTGACAAGCTGCAGAGGACGTATAGTTACTTGGAAAAATATCGTCGTGCAGTCTTGACGTTTAAATTCTGCCAGACTTCAATGTTCTGATAGGTAACAGCTGTTATCCTATGATACGTATATCCGTGGTTAACGGTAATAACAGAGTCAATCCCAGGCTTCCAGAACTTTTTCAAGAAAGTCACAAAAGTCTGACTGAAGATATTGCCATACCTGTGTAAGATATATTTGTCATACACGTGTCTTCGTGCTGGAGACATTGCATTGAAGTTTTAACACATTTGTCGCGGTTTCCCTCCTGGTTATGACAAACGTAGCATTCCATGCAACCAACTATTATTGGTCAGAAAAAATGCTGAGTTACCTTCAATAATGACGGAGGAAACAACAAGAGCCATAAGTGACGAATGAAAATTTACCATCTCGCGAAGTTCGCCAGTTTTAAAAAATGACGTAGGATTTTATAAATAATATTTGAAAAATTTAAACAACGTTAACTTAAATGACCTCCACTACTTAGTTATAGAGTCAGTGCGTTCTCCATGCCTATACTAATAAAATAATTCTTAACACAAGCTTTTGGATAACTAGTCTCCTGGCGCGGGCATGTTCCCAAGTTTGGTAGATCGATTACTTACACCTTAGGAGGTCATTCAAACGTAAAACGGGGTGCTTAAATATATTTTAACTTAATTAGAATAAAAAAGGGCTGTTTTCTCTCTTCTATGCAAGTTGAAACACTTCCCATACATCATGAGTCTGAGTTTAAAACCGATTTGCATTATTTTCGTGCACGTATCGAAACCTGCTGAAGGAATTCGAGGGATGCACAGATTGAAATGAGTTAAAGGCAACACAGAGGTCAGAGTCAGCGCAACATTCGCAAAATCCTACTTGGTTTGCAGTAAAGAATAAAACGACTAGCATCAACAATGCCCCGATAGTAACAGCATTATATACAAAAAACTACGAGTCGAGTGGAAAATAGCTCTGTAGAGAGATTTGCGACGTATCCAACTTTATCGTTTGCTCTTGCTTATAAATCCTATTACGTCCTTTGATATTTAACTTGCTAGAAATTTTGAAAAATTCATCGCAGGCCTTGGGCTGACCTTCATATTTAAGTAGTTTGCAAATTATACTGAAAATTTAAGTCAGATTCCTTTATAAGGCGGTTAGATTTCTGCGCATTAACTGTTAAATACAAGTTGTTCGTGCGAAAGATCGATCCGCGTAGCAATTTTATGTAAAAGCATGAACGCTATTTCGAACTGGGGTCTCGATGTCTTCAAAGAAGAAGGGGGAGACTTCAGTGACGTCCCACTAACAGCACGGTAAAGCGCCTAAAACTTCCGGGTTTTTTGGAGGGAGCAAGTCACGTTATTGCCTTGTTAGCCGAACCATAGAAGTCACAGTTGTGAGTGACACGGAAAGCTGTTAAAACGTGCTGGGTGGTTTCAGAGCAAATGGCCGTTTGTAGCATAGTTATTTCATTGTATTTGGGGAAGCGAGCTAACAAAACTAACCGATAGTTAATAGACTCCTTATTCAGTGAATCGTGACGGTCAGCTTAATTAGATATAGTTGAAACTGACAGCCAAACAGAGCAAACGACAGTTATTCAACAATTGCTAATCAGCAGCCAATGTGGGCGGCTTGAATTTGACTGTAAAGGGTTGGCTGCATAGACTGACTGAGATAACATTCGAGGACCAAATTTGAATCAACTCTCGCCTTGTTTCGCTCCTGAAGTGTACAAATACCTAAGCGGATGAAAGTTGAAGTCGTGTTCCGTCTTGATGGCATTTATAGCCACTAGTGATGATGCGTCACTCCGTCACACAGCAAGTTTACTGATTCTATTGATTCTGCAGGGGTTGTCAGCGCCGCCATACGTAATGGAAGAAATACACAAAAAGATACTTTACTAAACTCATTTTACAAAAAACATGCATTCTTGAAATTTTGTAGCCAACAAAAGTCTGGTTTTTCCCAGACTTCTCAACATCCATTTATTTTTAAAGCACACATCTGGAGGTTCTCAATCTGCATGTCAGACACATTTACCGCAGCAATCTAACATAACACATAATGTCCGCACAAATAGGTTCTTTGGTGCCAATAGAAAATTACAATTCCCACCAACCTGATCGCATGTCCTCGGCGTAGTACTTTTAATTAGAGTATGCCTATGACATTGAGCATGTCATAATCCGCAGAACACATATAATAGATGAGCGTAAGAATTTCTGCAGCGTTCTCATCATTTAAGGTTTCACACTGGGCAGCTAATGGGTGTATTTAGAACGGCCAATGTAAAATTTCAGGTGTTGTATTTTGTGCGCTTTTGCTCTATCGCATTTCAACGTGCGCACATGCCCGTTCCCGATCGTGTGACCAAATTGGTGTGGACGGGGTCATGACCCAGTTCGAGGGAGGTTCCGGGTGTCAGCGGGAAGACGGCGGACCTAACTGCTGGGTTTGCAACAAGTGGCCTTGTCCATCCCAACCATCGGAAAGGAAATAATGGCTTACTCGATTCGTATCGTTGTTTCGACAAGTTGAACCACGCAAAAGGACGTCAGTGATTCCTGTACTGCAAAAATTTTACCATTATAATTCAGTTGTGCTAAAACTAAAAAACCGACGAGCCTATGGGTCATTTAATCCCAGTTTTAACGGGCCCTTAGGATAAGAAAACGTGCTAACAAGGATGCCCGTTGCAACCAATGGTAAATTTTTTAAATCGATTGTCGAACTGTCTGAATACATCCATCTTGAATTATTATTCGGACCGTGGCTTCGCTCAGAAAACGAGATTTTGTTGAGTAAATAGCTTTTCGGACGTTACCCAACATAAGAAAACCCTTTGGGCAAATCATGCAGAACGCATTGGCCAGGAAGTAAGCCTAGATACCCCTACCCACTTGTTTAAATGTTTTTCACTTCAAAGCCCTCACATATTAAATGATTAATGACATGGTCCTTTGTCTCATTGGAAGAAAGGTACTCCTTAAAAAATCATCCTCAACAAATCAGGAATGTAGAAAATTCTGTAAAATTACCGGATGTACTTCTTTACAACATGTTTGTGCATGAAAGGGAACCGGAACTATGATTCGTGACATTACGATTTTCCACTACACATTACCATTTGCAGTATTTCCCCCGGCGTGTGCCCAGGCTTTCGTTTCCCCATTTGCGGGAGCTATTATGATCGGTTTTATTGTAAACAGGTATCGTCATTTCGTCCCAAGAGAACAACCTGTTAGTAACCGCACTGGCTCTCCCAGTTTCCAAATTTTATCGTATGGCAACAATTTCATATCGTATGATAATCTTTCTGTTGTTCGATAGCAACTGGATATTGTAGATGTTGTTTTCGAGTTTGACTTCCAGAATTGTATTGACTGTTGCTACTAAAATACTGAGCACATGGGCTGGGGCCAAAATTGCTTTTGAACACTGGAACACACCAATATGCTCACTTGTAGCAGCCGAGGACGTCAAGGTTGACACACGCTAAGTTAACAAAAGACTAGGAAGATATCCTGGTTAAGATCAATCTGAATAGAGTAGTTAACACGTCACGATACTCATCCGTACGTAAGGGAAGAAAGAACGTCAAGTAGGCGATAAGGTACAATGGAAAGGGATGGGAATTACCGATACATAAAGCAAAAGTGATCAAACAAGCAGGAGTTACAGTAACCTGTCTGGATGGAGAGGAGACACCAGCATGCCTTCTAAATAACCGGTGGGGAACGCAGCGCTGTGATCAATTGCAGGCAAAGACCAAGGGAGGTGTCGACATAGAGGAGAGAACGATGCGAACGCAAAGGTCAGTTGCGGGAAAAGAGTTCGGTGGTAGTTAGAGGAGGGGACACAGACCATCATCACCAGTACGCAATTATGTCATCACCATCTCAGGTCCGCGTCAAGAGTAGTCCTTAATTCAAACAATCCTATAGAGATGGTGGGACGTTACACGCTGATCTCCGGTCTCCCAGATCTTAGTTTGTCAGCAAACAATCCAATTTATTTAATTTTTGTTCACTTACTTGGTAGTACCATTTCCCAACTGTTAACGACTGAAGCTCGACAAAGCAAATCATGCGGCTAATATTTTCCTTCAAACCTGCCAGTTCCACAATCTGCGAATAAAAGTAAAAACCATAATCTTGCAAAATCCAAAGAGTCGTACAACATTCTGGGGAATAAAGTTTCATGTGACTTACGAAATGGCTTTATTATCTATAAAACGTGATTTGCAAAATAATAACACTGTAAGCGGGCTTCATGGGTGAAGTGTAAAAACTGTTTATTATTTCCATATCATGGAAAGCAATCATTAGACAACTTGAATCGTGAACGGTTAATCGAAATTCCAAAATAAGGTTTTTTTCAGAAGAGATTACGTTAGAGCGGTTGTAATAATGGGTAACGCCAGAGTGTCGTTCTTCGAATGCTCGGCTTTTTAACTGCCTCCATAAATCATAAAAAGGACTACTTACATACATGCCACAATTTGTAGCATTGATTTTCGATGTAAGAATGTATTTTATTGGAAACAAGCCCAAACATATTTTTCTTGTTCTCCTTTTTGCTGATAAGCACGCCTCCTTCAAATTCCCTTCGTAAAGAAGGACATCTGCCGGTCGTAAATGATAGTTTTCAATTTTCGTACTAACGTCGCACCTTATCATCCATTTCATTTGCGTTTAGGGTCACCAACATAATTAAGACGATGCGATACAAAGATCATGGGAATATGTAATGGATAGGTGCCAAGGTGTACACCTTAAAAGGAGCCTTAATAAACGCACAGATACGATGCTATTCGATCAGGTATTGCACAGTTTCAGAAGTTTTATATTTACAAATTATTCTTAAAATCGTAAGGCATACTTCCTAAAAGCAGGACATTTGAAGAAGACGACGTTCACTAGAAATGAGTCTTTGCGAGACTTCGGGCGCTCTCAAGCCTAAACAATGTCGTCAAAATACGGACATTTTATCGGGAATTTGAATGTACTCGTTTTTTGATCGACTGAGAATTAAACTCAGCCATCGTTGTTTGATTCATCTTTACACTTTTTCTAAGGCTTGCGAGGTGCATTATTGTCAAACCGAATGGACAATGGCACTATGCAACTCTCTTACCACCGTACTGTTAGGCAGGCAACAGTGAGTTCGGTAGAGGCATTTCCAGATCGGAGATGCTTTGGATCCTTA